CATTCACAAAAGGAGGAAACATGCGTGCTCTACCGCTGGAGGTTTTGTGCATTTCAAGAAGTGTGGCATATCAAATTCAATAGATGATTTGGAGGACGACAACTTGTGGCAAGATGAACAGGAAGCCGAAGCTGAGACCACACCATCTGATACGAAATGAGATCCATACGATGACTGCCTTACAAATCTATCATAAAAAAATCGCACATGTACTTATGACATCAGATGACAAGCGGGAGGATTTTTGATAGCTTTCAACCGGAAACCCTCACGTCTGCAAAACATGTAAAAATATCTTTGATCTATGAGGGGCGTTGCTGACTCGCCAGGGACTTGTCCGGCCTCTGCTCCCTCTCTAGTGTTAGTTTCCTTCCCTCTGCTCCCTCTCTAGTGTTTGTTTCCTTCCTCCTGCTCCCTCTCAAGTGTTTGTTTCCTTCCTCCTGCTCCCTCTCTAGTGTTTGTTTCCTTCCCTCTGCTCCCTCTCTAGTGTAAGTTTCCTTCCTCCTGCTCCCTCTCTATTGTTAGTTTCCTTCCCTCTGCTCCCTCTCTATTGTTAGTTTCCTTCCTCCTGCTCCCTCTCTATTGTTAGTTTCCTTCCTCCTGCTCCCTCTCTAGTGTTTGTTTCCTTCCCCCTGCTCCCTCTCTAGTGTTAGTTTCCTTCCCTCTGCTCCCTCTCTAGTGTTAGTTTCCTTCCTCCTGCTCCCTCTCTAGTTTTAGTTTCCTTCCTCCTGCTCCCTCTCTAGTGTTTGTTTCCTTCCTCCTGCTCCCTCTCTATTGTTAGTTTCCTTCCTCCTGCTCCCTCTCTATTGTTAGTTTCCTTCCTCCTGCTCCCTCTCTATTGTTAGTTTCCTTCCTCCTGCTCCCTCTCTATTGTTAGTTTCCTTCCCTCTGCTCCCTCTCTAGTGTTAGTTTCCTTCCTCCTGCTCCCTCTCTAGTGTTAGTTTCCTTCCTCCTGCTCCCTCTCTATTGTTAGTTTCCTTCCTCCTGCTCCCTCTCTATTTTTAGTTTCCTTCCCTCTGCTCCCTCTCTAGTGTTAGTTTCCTTCCTCCTGCTCCCTCTCTATTGTTAGTTTCCTTCCTCCTGCTCCCTCTCTATTGTTAGTTTCCTTCCCCCTGCTCCCTCTCTATTGTTAGTTTCCTTCCTCCTGCTCCCTCTCTATTGTTAGTTTCCTTCCTCCTGCTCCCTCTCTATTATTAGTTTCCTTCCTCCTGCTCCTTCTCTAGTGTTAGTTTCCTTCCTCCTGCTCCCTCTCTATTGTTATTTTCCTTCCTCCTGCTCCCTCTCTATTGTTAGTTTCCTTCCTCCTGCTCCCTCTCTATTGTTAGTTTCCTTCCTCCTGCTCCCTATCTAGTGTTAGTTTCCTTCCTCCTGCTCCCTCTCTATTGTTAGTTTCCTTCCTCCTGCTCCCTCTCTAGTGTTAATTTCCTTCCTCCTGCTCCCTCTCTAGTGTTAGTTTCCTTCCTCCTGCTCCCTCTCTATTGTTAGTTTCCTTCCTCCTGCTCCCTCTCTATTGTTAGTTTCCTTCCTCCTGCTCCCTCTCTATTGTTAGTTTCCTTCCTCCTGCTCCCTCTCTATTGTTAGTTTCCTTCCTCCTGCTCCCTCTCTATTGTTAGTTTCCTTCCTCCTGCTCCCTCTCTATTGTTAGTTTCCTTCCTCCTGCTCCCTCTCTATTGTTAGTTTCCTTCCTCCTGCTCCCTCTCTATTGTTAGTTTCCTTCCTCCTGCTCCCTCTCTATTGTTAGTTTCCTTCCTCCTGCTCCCTCTCTATTGTTAGTTTCCTTCCTCCTGCTCCCTCTCTATTGTTAGTTTCCTTCCTCCTGCTCCCTCTCTATTGTTAGTTTCCTTCCTCCTGCTCCCTCTCTATTGTTAGTTTCCTTCCTCCTGCTCCCTCTCTATTGTTAGTTTCCTTCCTCCTGCTCCCTCTCTATTGTTAGTTTCCTTCCTCCTGCTCCCTCTCTATTGTTAGTTTCCTTCCTCCTGCTCCCTCTCTATTGTTAGTTTCCTTCCTCCTGCTCCCTCTCTATTGTTAGTTTCCTTCCTCCTGCTCCCTCTCTATTGTTAGTTTCCTTCCTCCTGCTCCCTCTCTATTGTTAGTTTCCTTCCTCCTGCTCCCTCTCTATTGTTAGTTTCCTTCCTCCTGCTCCCTCTCTAGTGTTAATTTCCTTCCTCCTGCTCCCTCTCTAGTGTTAGTTTCCTTCCTCCTGCTCCCTCTCTATTGTTAGTTTCCTTCCTCCTGCTCCCTCTCTATTGTTAGTTTCCTTCCTCCTGCTCCCTCTCTATTTTTAGTTTCCTTCCCTCTGCTCCCTCTCTATTCTTAGTTTCCTTCCCTCTGCTCCCTCTCTATTGTTAGTTTCCTTCCTCCTGCTCCCTCTCTATTGTTAGTTTCCTTCCTCCTGCTCCCTCTCTTTTGTTAGTTTCCTTCCTCCTGCTCCCTCTCTAGTGTTAGTTTCCTTCCCCCATCTCCCTCTCTATTGTTAGTTTCCTTCCCTTTGCTCCCTCTCTAGTGTTAGTTTCCTTCCTCCTGCTCCCTCTCTAGTGTTAGTTTACTTCCTCCTGCTCCCTCTCTATTGTTAGTTTCCTTCCTCCTGCTCCCTCTCTATTGTTAGTTTCCTTCCTCCTGCTCCCTCTCTATTGTTAGTTTCCTTCCCCCTGCTCCCTCTCTAGTGTTAGTTTCCTTCCTCCTGCTCCCTCTCTAGTGTTAGTTTCCTTCCTCCTGCTCCCTCTCTATTGTTAGTTTCCTTCCTCCTGCTCCCTCTCTATTGTTAGTTTCCTTCCTCCTGCTCCCTCTCTATTGTTAGTTTCCTTCCTCCTGCTCCCTCTCTAGTGTTAGTTTCCTTCCTCCTGCTCCCTCTCTATTGTTAGTTTCCTTCCTCCTGCTCCCTCTCTAGTTTTAGTTTCCTTCCTCCTGCTCCCTCTCTATTGTTAGTTTCCTTCCTCCTGCTCCCTCTCTTTTGTTAGTTTCCTTCCTCCTGCTCCCTCTCTAGTGTTAGTTTCCTTCCTCCTGCTCCCTCTCTATTGTTAGTTTCCTTCCCTTTGCTCCCTCTCTAGTGTTAGTTTCCTTCCTCCTGCTCCCTCTCTATTGTTAGTTTCCTTCCTCCTGCTCCCTCTCTCTTGTTAGTTTCCTTCCTTCTGCTCCCTCTCTATTGTTAGTTTCCTTCCTCCTGCTCCCTCTCTCTTGTTAGTTTCCTTCCTCCTGCTCCCTCTCTATTGTTAGTTTCCTTCCTCCTGCTCCCTCTCTATTGTTAGTTTCCTTCCTCCTGCTCCCTCTCTATTGTTAGTTTCCTTCCTCCTGCTCCCTCTCT